TTAGATCTGAGGGAGAAGTTCTTTACAGCGAGGGTGCTGAAGCACTGGAACAGGTAGCCCAAAGAAGTGGTAAATGCTCCATCCCTGGCAGTGTTCAAGGCCAGACTGGACAGAGCCTTGGGCGACATGATCTAGTGTGAGGTGTCCCTGCCCATGGCAGGGGGTTGGAACTGGATGATCTTAAGGTCCTTTCCAACCCTAACTATTCTATGATTCTATAAAGGTTTGCATAACATGGTTTTGAGTTACTTAAAATGCTTTGGGTAGAGGTTTGTGTTACAATAATCACGACTACACAACTGAATTTCTAAGTGATCTCTATGAGTGACTACAGAACAGAGCGTGCAGAGACACAAGTAAGTGTGGATTTTAACAGGAGAATTGAAAAAAGCTGAATTTGAAAATTTGGACTGAAAACCTTAATATATTTACTGTGACAGCTTTGTATTGGGCTCTAGGGCAGCCTTTCAGAGGCTTTGGAAGTCAAGTAACTCAAATCATTTAAAGTAGATTAGAATGAAAGGCTAGAAAATGTAAGCGGGAAGCCTTCCAGTATTTCAACAGCAGATTTAATGTCTTTCATGTGTTTGATCAATGCAAGCAGTATGTTTAAAACTGTTGCAAATGTTAAAATGTGTGGTCTGTCTGTTTAAATTATACACCTACTTCTTTGGCTTGTGCAACAGCAGGAGCAAACAGATATGAGTTGTTTCAGTGTAGGTATATTCCACGTACATGCACGCTCTGGGCTAATGCACGTGCTACTGCTATTTTTCTGTGTTTCTGCTTTTTTTCACTTGTTTGCACTACTCTTCCGACTTTTGTGGTCTGTGTTGTTCAATTAAGAGAATTCCAGAGTCAATACATGTCTCCCTTTAATATCAAAATGTCTTTAATTCAGCAGTTGATACTCCCTAGTGACCTATGTTAGCTCTGGCAGGCTCTGTTAGGATGGTCTTTAAAGTGTGGTTAAAGTAACTCTTGTGTTTTGAAAACGTTG